ACTTACGTGATGGTGTGGGCAACTCACACACAACTTCTTTAAGCATTCTCAATGCTCTTATAAACTTTATCTCTTGTATTTTTGGCAATTGTATATCTCTTTTTTAATGTTGACGACCTTAGAAACTTAAAAGTATTTTTTCAGAAATAGCCTTTTTATCTCGATCCATAAGTTGATTGAGCCTATGGAAGATAGTATAACTAATTCTTATCCAAATCTATTAATGAGAAAGGAAAGGCTCACAACTTTATTTGCTCTTAAAGATATTATGTAACTTCATGCTAGAGCATATCGCATGAAACTCTTTCAAGTGCTTGCATAGATCCTCACCTGTAAGACCATGAAAGATAGGCAATATATTTATTAGTTTTGACTTTAATTTAAATTAGCATCTAACTCAAGATATTCAATACACAAAAGTTGTTGATTTAAATTCGGAGTAGCCAACTCTTTTAAGGTCATGTTCTTGTTATTTATAGTTATGTATTTCAATTCCAAATCACTAGATGAACAATTAGAAACTAGACCGATGGCTACATTAATGATGGGTGATGAAACTTCTTAATACCTAATTTTTACCTCTATTATTTTCTTTTTATTCTTGAAAAAAAAATACAAACAAAAACAACAAATACCAAATACAAAGAGAGAGAGAGAGAGAGAGAGAGAGGAAGTCAATTCAAAATAATTGGCTAAAATTAGTTCAGGGGTCTAATTAAAAAAATAAAAAGTTGAAGAACCAAAAGAAATCCAATTGAGAATGCAATTAAAAAGTTTAAAACCCTAAACCCTTAATTAAAAGAAAGAAAGGATACAATTGGAAGAAATCTAGAAGAAGAGATCTTGATTAGTTATAATTTAAGGGTGTTATTGAAGTTCAAATAATCAAAATCACACTTAAATTTATGAATTAGGAAGAATCGGAGACTAAAATTAATCTTTACCCAAAAACCTAACTCCCATTTATAAATACTCCTCTTTTTCTTCACACTCATTATTCATTCATCAATTTATATAGTACACTCTAATTCATTGAGTATGACCATGATATATAAAAAATAAGAATCACTAGTTTATTAAAAATTAACTATGCATTTACATACATAACATCAACCATTTGTTATTATTTTTTTAATATTATAGAATTAATTTTTTCAAATAAAATAATTAAAATAAAATTTTAGAAAAACCTTCCAATAATTCAAATATAATTTTTTATACTAAAATTATTAATTAGTTTCTAAATAAATAGCTATAAATCAAATGCACATATTTTTTAAAAAATAATCTTCTCATCGAGCATCAAACAAGAATAAAAAAGATTTATTTATTAATCTTTATACAAGCTTTTATATTATTTTTTTGCTTTATTTCTTCAATGCAATCTTATTAAAAAAAAATTAAGATATTTTTTAATTTTTTTGTTTAGATTATCATAAGTTTTTATTTGAGAATGAATGCATAAGAAACAATAAATTATCTTTTTTTAACTATAAAATTTATGAAAAATATATAAAAAATAAATTAAATACAAAATTTAGATTAAAAGTAATGAGATTAATTTTATAACATTAAAAAATATTAATAGTGAATGGTTTCGTTATTTGAGTATAATATATCTAATTTTTAATAAAACCAATGATCTCGATTATATATATAACTTTTTGTTTAAATTATCATAAGTTTTTGTTTGGTAATGAATGCATAAGAAAGAACAAATTGTGTTTTTTTAACTATAAAATTTATAAAATAATGAGATTAATTTTATCATATTAAAAAATTTAATAGCAAATTGTTTGTGTTATTTGAGTATAATACATCTAATTTTTATTAAAACCAATGATCTTGATATATATATATATATATATATATATATATAACTTTGTTTTTAAATTATCATAAGTTTTTGTTTGATAATGAATGCATAAGAAAGGACAAATTCTGTTTTTTTAACTATAAAATTTATGAAAAATATAAAGAAGAATAAATTAAATACAAAATTTAGATTAAAAATTATGAGATTAATTTTATCATATTAAAAAATTTAATAGAAAATTTTTTGTGTTATTTGAATATAACATATCTATTTTTTAATAAAACCAATGATCTCAATTATATATGATCATATATGTAGTATAAATCGAAATATATTTAAAATAAAAAACTTAAGCTGTAAGTAATATATTGAAGTTAGTAAATTGCAATAAAAATAACTAAGAAATTAATTTTGATATATTTTAATTATATAAAATTTGCAAATATAATATGTGAATTCTATTTTTTAATTGATTATTTATTTTAAAAACTTATTCAAATATATGCATAAATAAAAATAAATCATATTTACTAAAAAATATAATCATATAAAAATTAATTTAATGAGAATTTTTATAAAAATAAAAAATTGAAGATATCAATTTTAAATAATAAGAGTCATGTTTTTTAATTAAAAATTTTATAAAAAAATAAATTAAATATAAAATTTTGGTTAGAAATTTTAAAATGAGATAAAATTTATAATTTTAATTATAAATAAAAAATATTTTACTTGATCAATAGTATAATATAAACTATTAAAATAAAATAAAATAAATATTATTCGATATTTAACGAGAAGCCTACTAGTATGATTTTAGGCTTCAACAAACTTCTTTTATAATCAGCTGACTTGACGTCATCTGCTTTCCTCTATCTTTCATGGAGTTGCCACGTGCGAGCACATTATCCTCGTTCAAAGAGACTTGTTTGGTGGACCATATCGATTTTTGTGAAATCAAAGTACAAAATAATTTCCCTGAAAATGAAATCCCATTTTGTAGGCACTCGAAAATTTCTGGTGTGTGCCTTTATCTCCTTGTGAATATTTGTTCCACACACCCCGCCCCCAACTGAATACTTTTTGTTTGAATACTAGTAGGCTTTATGCACTACAATCCAAATCCAACAAAATATATTTATTTTGATTTAATAATATGTAAAATATTATTAGTCAATATAAAATCAAACATAAAAAATTCATCTAATTTCATAATTTTTAATTAAAATTTTATATTTAATTTATTCTTCTTTATATTTATCATAAATTTTGTAGTTAAAAAAAATACAACATTTATTATTTAAAGTTGATTTCTTAAATTTTTCATTTCTTATAAATCTCATCAAATATTTTTTTATTTTTTTATGTAATTTTATTGGTTAATAAATATGATTTTTTTTCTCTATATATGGATTTTTGAATAATTTTTTCCAATAAATAATTAATTAAAATTTAAAATTCAAGTGTTTTATTTACTTATTTTTATATAATCAAAATATATCAAATTTAGTTTTGTAATTATTTTTATTATAGTCTACTAACTTCAATATATTTTTTACAATTTCAGTTTTTTAAAAAATATTTTTTTAATTTATACTCGCATACTCGACCCATTAAGTATGGTTATGATATATATAAAAAAAAATTGAGATTATTGGTTCTATTAAAGTTAATTTTATAATTTTTAATCAAAATTTTATATTTAATTTATTTTTTTTATTTTTTTCATAAATTTTACAGCTAAAAAATGATTTGTTCTTCCTTATGCATTTATTTTTAAATAAGAATATATAATAATATAAATAAAAAATTAATATAAAATTTAAAAAATATCTTAATATTTTTTTTATAAGATTGCATGAAGAAATAAAAAAATAATATAAAAAATTGTATTAAAATGATGATGATGAGAAGATTAACGTTTTGAAAATATGCACACACACACACACACACACACACACACACACACACACACACACACACACACACATATATATATATATATATTATGATTGTTTAGTGGTTTTTCTAAAATATTATTTTAAATATTTTATTTAAAATAAATTAATTTTTGAGTATTTAAAAAATAATAACAAGTGATTGATGTATGTGTAGATGCATTGTTAATTTCTAATAAAATTAATGATCCTATTTTTTTATATATACATCATGACTTTATTCAAGTAGATCGAATATGCAACGTAAATAAAAAAAATATTTAAAAAAAACTTAAATTATAAGGAATATATTGAACTTAATAGATCGTAATAAAAATAACTATAAAATTGATTCAAGTAAATTTTGATTATATAAAAAAATAAAACACATGAATTTTATTTTTAAATTAATTAATTATTTAAAAACCTTATTCAAAAATTCACATATAGAGAAAATAAATTATATTTATTAACAAATAAAATTACATTAAAATGAATAAAAAAATTAATTTGAAGAGAATTTTCATAAGAAATTATAAATTGAAAAGATCAGTTTTAAATAATGAGAGTAATATGATATGATATATATTAATTTGAAAATTTGAAAACATATCATATATATTTCATAATAGTCAGTTTGTATGAAAAAAAAAGAATAACAATTGATTTTTCATAATTTTTGCACAACAATTCAATAATAAAAAAACTAAAATAAATTACTGAAAAAAAAAGCCAAAAAAAAAAAAACATGAGTGTTTGGTTATCTAAAGATCAAAAATATCTTTTATAAATATCAATAACTAAAATGAAACACAATATCAAATTTGTCAAGAAAAAAACGCTGGTAATTAATTGTTTGTTTGTAAATGTACTTTCTAATCATTAAAAGGGTGTGTTTCTTTCTTAACTGTTGGGGCTTAAGTTTTTTTTTTTTTAACGTCATAAATTACATTAATAAAGTCAAAGTGCAAGAGTTTTAACTACAACTTAAGGGCGCCGTAAGAGCTCATGTAACAAATATAACAAAAGACCATTAAATTACAATGAAATTCAATTAAAAAAGAATAAGCCCAAGAACTTGTTGTCTTTTGGGCAAAACATCGGCTCCACTTTTCCGATGAGCAATCGGCTTGCAAATCTTTGAAATTTTTTAAATTAAAAGTCGACCACGACTAGATCCAACAAAAGTAGCATCGGAACACTGTCGTTCAGTGTACAGGAGGGAAACATCTCCTACGCTTAAAAGTCTACACCTCTACTAGACCAAGCCACGAACTACCAGCTATTTGCTCCCTGTCACCGTCAATGACATGGTTTGAAGCAAGAGTGACAACGAACCCAGCAGTAAACATCCACAAACTATACCACCAACCCCATCCAAGCTCTCCAAAGCTCAAATTACCATGCCACCCATCTCCTCCATAAATCCAGCACAGACCCCCGCCACCTCACCAAAAGCACAACCTGAAAGCAGATCCTCCCCCTTTCTGCCATAACTGACAATCAAATCTCAAGAAATGGGAAAATTATTTGAGTTAATCTAACAAAAAATGTTCCAAATCTATTCAAAGAACAGATCTATAAAGCTCTCCACCTCTAACAGGTGAGAGAAGGATGAAGAGAACGGGAAAGGACAAAACCTAATTTCTAAAAGAACTTGGAAGCCTTAAGAGTGTGAAAACTAGGTTTTGTAGGTTTCAGAGAAGCTCAGTCTCTCCAAAACCTACAGAGAGTAGCCTTTTTTTTGCAATCTCAGCACTTAAATTGATTAAATTAATAATATAGATCTCAATTTACCACAATTCTAATATTTCAAGAGTAAAATTTGTAATTTAACCTAATTAGATAGAAATTGTTTTTGATCATTGGCACAGTTTTTTTGAGTCTTTAAAAGTTTTCATTCTTTATATATAAATATAATAATTTGGTCTTAGATTGAAACCAAACTAGAAATTTAAAAAACTAAATCCAAAAAACCTCAGAAATGTATATATATATATATATATATATATATGCAAATGGATGGATTTATTCATATTTTAATAGGTATAGAATCCATTAATTAATTTCATAATTACTCAAGCATTAATGAAATGTGGGAGGCATCTGTGTGAAAAATGAACTTATTATAATATGCTTTCAAATATTTCAAAGTTAAGTAAGTATTTCGTCTCCATCAACTAATTAAATATAGTCCTACAACGTTTCCAATGATGATATCATTTATCTTACCACTTCTGATTCAATCATAAGTTAATTTGTCGTGACATGTACTGATATGTCCAAAGGATTAAGATTGATCCACTTAATTGATGATTGAAAACCGTGTCGGGGTTAGCATGGACTGATTATTTGATTGTGATAGGCGAAGAGCTATGAAAACAACTTGCTAAATGTACTAGAAAGAAAGAGATTTTTCTTCTGAGCCCCACTTCTGAAAACAAGATCAGGTTTTTTCTTACCCTATCTATTTTATGATAAAGATTGATGGCCTAACTTTAACTTTTCTTCTTTCACCATCAACGTCTAGGTGAACCGTTAATTTTTCATTTTGAAAAAAAGGGGACAAAATAGACAATTCATTACTTGCCGCTCCTCCACGACCATCCAGGATAACATTGGGCTTGATCCCACATGAAAGCTTGGAGGTTGGGTTTAGATCAGTCATGGGTTTTAGAACGGCTACACTACCATAAAACCCATAAATTTCAAAGTCCACAGTTAGATAGCTTTATATGAACAAAGCCCAGCCCACTACAAATATATTTTTTTAACCGCTTTTTATACCATAAAAATAAAAAAAATAAATGCATGGTCCACGCGCCTTTTTTTGTAAAAAAAAAAAAAAAAAAAAAATCAACTTAAAGATACATAAGCTTGGACAATATCCCATAAATATTATGGGTGCTCCTCAACATAGTTTTGTTCAGAGGAGTTAAATCTTTCAAAATTAATTAATCGACGAGCAATTTTATTGTATGCACAGCTACTATGTATAAAAATACAAGAATTAAACTGATTAGTTAGATATTTAATGACTAAGACAATAAAAGATAATTAACCATAATTCTCAACATCTGATTGGAGTTGAGAGATAAGAGTAAAGTAATCTGATTTCAAAAAATCCTATATCTATAGCAAGTTGAAATCCATAGAATATAACTAAAAATTCATCTATATTGATAAGGATTTGTTGTGTCCACATGCTGTTTTTGGATGTTACCTCGAATAGTAAATAAGTTTACGTTTAAGAATATCATTTTAGTTAGAATTAGTTAGATATCCATACTACATTGCAATCGGACAACCGTTATATACATAAGATCAATGTTTTGTATGGTATAATACGAATAAAAATCTTCTTTTTCATAATTAATGTAAATCAAATTCAGTAGTTAAGCAAAATCGTTTGATTTATATATATTTATTAACAAAATAGTCAATAATAATTGCATAAAAGGTTGTATTTGAATAATTGAAATACCCTTTCAAAACATTATTTCAATTATTTTATTTTAAAAAATATTGATTTTAGAACATAAAAAATAATAAATAACAAATAATTGATGTTATGTGTGAAGATACATAATTAATTTATAATAAAACTAATGATATATATTTTAATTATCTTATTTAAAAGATATTGATTCTAGAACATAAAAAAATAAATAACAAATAATTAGTGTTATGTATACAAATACATAATTAATTTTTAATAAAACTAATACACACACACACATACATATATTATGATCGTACTTAGTAGATTTAGAGTATATAGTATAAACAATTTTTTTTAAAAAAAGAAAACCATATAAGTTGCATGGAACGTATTAAAGTCAAAAAATTTTAAATAAAAACTATTACAAAACTGGTTCTTGTAAATTTTACTTATTAACTTATGATGAAAGAGATTCTTGAATTGCAAATTAAATTATAAATTAGTTCTTCTCATTTTGAAAAAAGAATGAATTAATTCTTTTAGTTTCAAAAATAAATTATTTAATTTTTAAAATATGTTTTTGGACTTTTTGCTATTTCAATGTTTTATTTTTTGTTTTAAGAAATAGAGGAGAATAAAAAAATATATGAAAAAATATTTTATAAAATAAAAAAATAAATTATCAATGGTCAACACCGATTAAAAAAATTAAATAATTTATTTTTTAAACCAAAAGAAGGAACAAAAAATTTAATTTGATCATAATTTTTATAATAAACAACAAATTTAAGAAATTAATTTTAATCAATAAAAAAATATCATTAAATATATGTGTTTGTTCTAAAATTAAAAATATAAGAGCCCAAAAATATCTTTTAAAAATACTAGGAACAAAAGATATATTTTGAAAAAATACGAGACAAAAATGGACTAAGTTAAAAACATGAAATGTCAAAATATTTTTAAAAATATATTTTGAAAACATAAGGTATAAAAAATGAATGAAGCGTAAAATTTAAAAATAAATATCCAAAAAAACTATAAAAATTACAAAAATACCATTATATAAAATTACAAAATTGCCACCATTGAATAGTGAACTGAAGCAGATGAACAGTAATTTACTGTTCATCTGTCCCAGTTCTTTTAGTTTTTTAGGTAATATAAAAAATAATTGATAAGAAAAAAACTTCTCATAAATCCATAGAATTAGATATAAATAACATCTATAAGAATAATAATTGATTAGCCAATACCTCCAACTTGGATAAAATTTATCAAAAAAATAAAAAATAAAAATATGATCCATTGCATCAATAATTTCCATCTCCCTTCAATTTGGTGGAATCCATATCTTCAATGATCATGGATGGCAATAGACGGATATTCGATCCATTAATTCAATTTTTTACATCAGTCATAACAAAATGTTATAATCATTAAGAAATTACTATATAAATCTTTACTTAACCCAAATATGATCCACATTTGTTTATCTCGCCTATTTAATATCCGGTAAAATTCATTTGTCAAAAATATTCATTTTAGTCTCTATAATTTTCATGAAAAGTTTTTTATCCTTAATTTTTTTTTCATTTTGGTAATTTATTTATAAGTTTTTTTTGTTGTAAATTTTTTGAAAATAATATTTTGGTCTTTAATTTTTAAATATTATACAATTAAATCCCTATATGTTAATAAAAAAAAGTAGATATTAATAGGATAAAAAATGAATATATGTACTATGAAATCATGTTATTGGGTATGTATTTTTTTATTTTTACCTATTTATATGCTCGTTGGATATTTTTAATAGATATTGATTGGACCAATTAAAGCGAATATTCATTTTATACCGAATTTATTATTATCCCCACCAATGAATTAGAATCTTCAATGAAACGGATGGAGATGTGGGTGTTGGCTAGAATAAAAATATCCCATATATATATATATATATATATATGAGAAGGGTTTTTTTTTTTAAAAAAAAATTCTTTTTGTTTTTTAATTCTTTGGGTGGAACTTTCTCCAAAACTTTGGATCCATAAGAGCATGCCTAATTTACATTTGTATTTTAAATTATTTAAACCACCACCAAAACCCATATATTTTGGATCCAAACTTGCAGACTATAGAAAAGGGCAGCCCAGCCCAGTCATATACATAGCCCTCTGTGTTCTCTATACGGTGTCTCCTTCTCTTCAACCACAGGGTTTGGAAATTCATGCCTAAAATCTTTTTGCAGTGAATGTTTCATGGCTGCTTTTCCTTCTCCTCAGAATGTAATGAATACCCAGATGCAGAAGTTTGGGTTTCAAAGCTCAGAAGTGAAACCAGAGTCGGCAGAAGCACAAGTGATTGTTACCCTTTTGATTAAGCACCTCCCTGAAGCTATTCCTTTTGACACACTTTCAAGGCTTTTCTCTCATTATGGTGCTGCCTCTGTCCGTCCTTGCAATTCTGGAAGGTTATTTCAATGTAAAATTTGTAATCTTTGTTACTGTAGTTATGCCTTGACTGTATGGGAGTTGTTGGTTTAGTGTTGTATGTTTTTATCCTTTTTTATTAGGTTTCTTCTTATTTTTTATTATTTTTTTTGGAATTTATAAGTTTTATTTTTTCATTTTTGTTTGATGGACTCTATCGTTGCTTTGTTGTGTTACTATTGATTGTTCTGTTGAGGCGATATGTTCTTTGATAATGGTTATGCAGATTGAAAAATTGTGCATTTGTGGATTTCAAAAGCGAAGGCTTGGCTTATCAAGCGCATCGTCAGTTAAATGGGTAAATTTTTCTGTCACCACCTAGTTGATGTTAGTCCAATGCGATGAAATAAGCCAATGAATTTTTTTTTTCGAAAGGCTGAGGTTTCTTGGTAAGGTCTTATCGGTGGAGAGAGCTAGTAAGCTAAATGAGGATAGTAGATTTAAACAGAGTGAGGCTCAACAAGGAAAGGATTCTATTCTACCCACATCTTTGATGAAGGATGCTTCTGTGACTAGAGATGTCCTTGAAGGTTCAAAATTTGGGTCCTTACCCGCTAGGGAACCAATTGCTCCAAGGCTTGGTGTTGACTATCCATTTCCTCCTCACTTGGAGTATGTTTCCCTTTCTGTTCTTCCTAGAGTTTTCTTATTTTGATTAATATTTTTGTATCAATGTTGGAAGGCAGTGCTCTCTCTGTGAATGCCATGGTTTTTCTTGCGACGATAGACATTGAAGACACATGTTTTGAGTCATGCATCTTCATTTTTTGTTATCCAGTGTCCACATGCTTAGTGTGAAATTTCAGTAATATGTGCCAGATAATTCGGCTGCATGAATGAACAGAGAGAGTAAGAGGTGGAGATCAGGGAAGGTTTTGAGCATGATTTATAAGTTGTTAGAAGTCTCCTCACAATGACATCTATGTGAGTTCTATATTAATATAAAGTTGATAGGGGGAATGCACATACTAACTGGCCATTGATGGCATCGATTGGTCTCTATTTAAGTTAGATGTACCTTTTGGAAACTGATTATAGCATCAAGCAACTAACTATAGAGCAACAAAGCATCCTCATTATCCATGTGTATCATGGTATGCTGCTAGTTTTACCTAGATTTGGTCTTTTTTTTTCCTTACAGGTACGCTTACCCTCCACCAGATGGAAACATTCTGACCAACATCGTAAATGCTCTTATTGCTGTTCCTCGCTTCTATACACAGGTTGTCCCCAAAATCTGCAAATTTATGGACAAATTTGCAAAATCATCTCCTTTGGCTCTAGTGTTTACATTTTATTGTGTTTTTTACTCTAGCAGCTGCAAGCATAGTAGAGTAATGTCGTTAACAACTTAGTTTTCTATAATAGGTGTTGCATTTGATGAATAAAATGAATATTCCAGCTCCATTTCGAATGGCCTTGCCCACTCCACCTCTACCGCCGCCAGCAACCCCACCTCCACCACCCCCACCTCCTTGTATATCTGAAAAGACTCTGTTGGCAGAACAATCCAGTAGCGAGTCAGAAATGGAGTCTGCAGATGAGGTACATTGCTGCCTGCTATTTCTTAGTCTTGGTTTGTACATATGTGTGTGTGTTTGCTAGGGTCACACATGTACAAAATCAAGCAGGCATCTATTATGAAATTAGAACCAAACTCCTCTTTTCCCATAATTTAATAATCTGAAGGAACACGATGTCCTCTTTTCTTACTTCTATTATCAAGGAATGATGTCTGTTTCATGACTTCAATTTTTTTTTTTTTTTGTCCGTTCTAGGTAGAGCAGTTCAGGATTTGTTTTCCCACTGTTTTTCTAATTACCATTAACAATTTCAATAGTAATGTTTTGGGACTAAATGTTTGTAGGAGGTTGATAATAAAGGCTCTTATGGAGCCTCAGGAGCTGTTAAATCCAGAAGAAAACGCATCAAACGGGAAGCAGTTGTAGGACCTGCAGTTGATAAAGACGTGGCTCATGAGGCTGTTGGCCTGAGACCTGCATCCTTGGTCCCAAAAGAAATTCCGTTTATCAAGAAAAAGAATCCTGTGCTGCAGGTCATTTTCTTTCTAATAGAAATTGTTGTTGGTTTATCTTATCACTTTTACAAATATTCGTGTTCCATTGCAGATTAAGATTGTGCCAAAAGTAATTCAAAATGAACATAAAGATGATAGCATTATGACAAAATCTGAGGAGCCAGACACAGAGAGTTCAGATCAGAAACACTATGCAACTGCAGAAGAAATAGAGAGTAAAAGGCTTGCCCCAGAGGAAATTTTATCACTTCCAAAGTTTAAGGTACCTGGTCTGGAAATTTTAAGTGATTTCTGCAAGGAATAAAGATAATTTTCCTAATTTGTTTAGTCTAATCTATGTTCAGTTTGAACCATTTTTTGTTTTTTCTTTTTTTAACTTGTATGAATTGCAAAGCAATATACTGTTGCATAAGCTGTCTTAAATTTTGCAGAACTACACAGTTGGGAATCCTGCACCTGTGTTGTACATAAAGAACCTGGACAAAGAGGTGGTTGCTGATGATTTTTTCTACATATTTGGTGAGCTGGAAAACCTTTATGCTTGTTACATCTCAATTTTCGGCTCTTTTTTCTCAAATGTCATTGTATAATTCGATGTGTTTTTAGCACCATTCATATTTTAGGAAATGGTTAGTTTAGGAAATGGTTGTTCAAAATTATTTTAATGCATGGTACTTGGTGCTGAAATTTTTGCAGCTTATTCTTTGGATGCATATTGTTACTCATACGATTTGCCTTTTGTTATCACAAAGACAGTACCTGCTCACTATATGTTGTTCATAATTTGCTGCAGGATCATTATTTGGAAGCATTGATGCAGCAAAAACTGGCCTCAGTGTCAAGTTGATGCAGGTGAGGTCCTTTCATCGCTTCTTGACTTCTGCATAAAGCTCTACTTGTTTGTTTAAGTTTAACCTACCGAGGAAAAACAACTGCTTATACCAGGTTCTAGTTCATGTGATACAAATGCTATGTGGACCTTATAGAGACTTTGATCCACCTTTTATTATGTTGGTGTATGATATACACAAAGTTTCATGTATATGCTCCATCATTGATGTTGAATGAGAGGACTGGTGAATGGACGATGAGAAAGGAGGATAAATTTCATGGAAGTGCGAGGAAATTTTGTTCCTTAAAACTGCTAGCTTAGCAAGGAGTCCAGGGAGAGTGATGATTTTAAGCTAGAGTTTAGAAATATATAGCCACTGGTGTCTGAAAAAGGGCTTAGTGGCTAGGCGCTGTTTGTGTCACCTAATGAGAACATGAGTTGAGAATGTTTACAGTCAGTTGCAAAGGAATGCTTTCCCTTAATAGTTTCGTAAGAGGAAATGATGTTGAAATATTTATGAGAAAGCAACATTAGTTCAGGTACCTTTTTTTTTGTTTTTGAACTTGAGAATGTGAAGCATGCTCTAGAGTGCATATTGTGTGTATCAATGTCTTAGGAGTAAGATCTAAAAGAGAGAGATCTAGAGTATGGAATGGGGTTGAGGAAATTGAAAGGTTTTTTGCCTGAGCTTTGTTTTTGCATGGCAGCTTTAGATTTTACCATTATCTAGATTGATATTGGTCAGATGCTTCCATGTACCTGAGGACTTTGTGCTTGCATATTCATCTGAAATGCCATCAAAGAAATAGAAGAAATTTGAGAATGGTGCTCTGCTGTTGATTCCTTGCATTAAAAAAAAAAAAAAAAAAAAATTCATTGAGGGATTAGTGTCTAATATCAACTAACTTAAAACTCTGCATCATCTCATTCCCATATTACATGGCAATTTATGCTACACTTTTCTGTGAAGATTATCTGAACTTGTTAAGGAAATCCTTGTATAAAATTGTGAGAACATGAATGAAACTTTGTCGTGGGCTGATAAAATCAATGTTTTTGGGTATGACATATGTCATAGGTGGTTGTAAACTCATAATCTCCTGACCATTCAACACTGAATTAATATTAAATGTTATATTACCCTATTTATCAATTTGGAATGACCCTCACTTTTAAATTTCAGGAGGGAAGAATGAGGGGTCAAGCTTTTGTAACATTTCCATCAGTTGAACTTGCCCATCAAGCTCTGGTATGTATCTCATGAGATCATCTATTGACTAGAATGCCTAAAACTTCTGTTTGATTGTTGAGCCCTTGTTGGGTGAGTTTATTTATTTTTTTATATATGCCTTTCAAGTGCTGCATGCTGAGTGCATTTACAAAGCCAGGGCCATTAAGCAACTTGATTCGACGTTCCCAATTGGGAGTGTCATGTAGATGTTTATGACAACTAGATCACACCTTTGCATTTCTTTGTGATATATTTGATATATTCTGCTGGAGCTAAAAATAATGCAGTGATATTCCTTAACATGTTTGTCATTTGTGGTTGCAGAATTTAGTGAATGGATATGTATTCAAAGACAAACCGATGATCATACAATTTGGCAGGAATCCTTCAGCTGCGAAACCAAATTAAACAGATCTGTCATGATTAGGAGCTGTTTATTCGGTACCTCTTGTGGTTCGTTGTTCAATCACTCATTCTACATTACTCTTAAGCATGCTAAAAAAAGAAGCCTCAAACTTTAGATTATAAATTATAAATGCTGCTAGGATTTTTCTGTGGGCTTGAGCATTTTGAAGTGGGGAATTGTTTCGATGATGCATTTCAAGATTAATATTTCCTGGTTGTACTTGGTTGACATAGACCTCAACCAACGAAATTTGGGAATTTCAGGTACCCGTGAAGTTGAAAAAGTGTCAATATTTCTGCTCCTGGGGAAGATGTGTAGAGCAAGCTGCCGAAGATGAGCATCATCAGCTGTTGCTGTCGATAATAAGCAACTCGAGTTGGGGGGTGGGGATTGGGAGGATATGATGTGCATGGCTACGCTGACTGACTAGTACAGAAATGATCGCCTTTAATCTTATATACCAGCGAGAAGAAAAGGATGGCGTTTTGATTTTGGCATGCAGAATGTCCGCATCTGGAAGAAAATGTCCAAAGTTTAAATTCGCTACTTTCTGATACAGAGCTTTCTCATTATTTCTGGAGAATTGAGGGATGTAATCAAAAAAATGTTTGTAAATGGGAAATTGAACCAAACAATAGTTGTACAAACTCACCTGTTCTGAATTTTATCAAATGGGCCATTCTATCATGTAAAATTGTGCAGATTCTGATAAATAATGATAATAATAATAATCATGCAGACGTAAGGGAAGGAGGAAATAGTTATTACTCTTTCTCTTCAAGAGAGGAACAGACTAAAAACTGAATGCATCAATAATCCTTGCAGCAGCGTGATTGCTGAAAACTTGGATTCATGAACAGTGCTAAAAGCAAGAATGTTGAAAGTGAAAGACAGTGGATAGCCTTCAGTAATGCGCTGTTACGATCCATTGCAGGCTTGCAGCTAGTTTGCCTCCCTAGTTGTAAAAATGGAACCGAAATCATGCATTAGGCCCAGAAACTAGCTTGATCCAAAGTTATGCCTAACTCCAGCTTTTCCATCCCTCAAGCGTTAAACCAAAGAAAATAAAGAAGCTGCAGCACTAAGGAGTAATGACTATAACTATGCAAGTTATGGAAAGCTAAGGCACCTTTTAAGTATGCTTAGGTTGACAAGGCCACGCCTTCTGTCCTTCACAAACAAAACAACAGTATTATCAGCAAAAACTACCCTTTTTTCCCCAACTTCACAAATGTTGTTTACCACAATCAAACAAGAAGAGCAAAAACTCAACCACTTGCTCTCTCTATTACTCAAGAACCCAACAAAAACTCACCAACCAACCCTGCAACTTCACTCACTCTTACTTACTACTGGCTTATTAAGCCATTCAATTCTGCTCTTCAATACTCTACTCAGACTCTATTCTTTTAGTGATCATCCCCACCTAGCTTTCTTGCTCTACAAACAACTGCAAGACGTTTACTTTCACTCTTCTTCTTTGTCTCCCCCTTCATTTGATAGCTTTACCTACTTTTTCCTCATAAATACTAGTACTAACTCCTCTTGTCAAATTATAGGAACTCAGTTTCATAGTCTTACATTCAAAGTGGGTCTTCAATATCAGGTTTATGTACAAACTGCTCTTTTAAATATGTACTTAACGAGTGGGGTTTTAGGTGATGCTATGATTCTGTTTGATCAAATGCCTGAGAGAAATGTGGTTACTTGGAATGTGATGATTACTGGATTGGTTAAATGGGGTAAACTTGAATCTGCAAGTTTTCTCTTTGATGAGATGCCTGAAAAGAATGTTGTTTCATGGACTGGAATAATTGATGGGTATATAAGAAACAACAACTATAGTGAGGGTTTATCTTTGTTTCAAAGAATGTTTGTGTGTGAGGGTATAAAACCTACTGAAATAACTATTCTTGCTATTTTACCGGCTATTTCTAATACGGGGGAGTTAAAAGTTTGCAGCTTGATCCATGGTTATGCAGAGAAAAGAGGATTCAATGCTTTTGATATACGTGTTTCTAATTCGATTCTAGATACTTATTCAAAATGTGGTTGCATAGCAAGTGCATTGAAATTTTTTGAGGATATTTCAGTGGAGAGGAAGAATTTGGTATCATGGACATCGATCATTTCTGGGTTTGCAATGCATGGGATGTGGAAGGAAGCGGTGGAATATTTTGAAAGGATGGAGAAAGCAGGTTTAAAGCCGAACAGAGTGACATTCTTGAGTGTTTTAAATGCTTGTAGCCATGGCGGATTGGTTGATGAGGGGCTCAGGTTTTTTGACGAGATGGTGAGTGAGCATGGAGTTTCGCCTGATATTAAGCACTATGGGTGTTTAGTAGACATGTTGGGGAGGACAGGGAGGTTAGAAGAAGCAGAGAAGATAGCGTTGGAGATTCCTACTGAGATTGTTAATGTTGTGATTTGGAGGACCCTATTGGGTGCATGTAGCTTTCATGGTAATGTTGAGATGGGTAAGAGGGTTACAAGGAAGATAATGGAGATGGAGAGAGGATATGGAGGTGATTATGTGCTTATGTATAACATCTTTGCTGGTGCTGGGAGGTTCGAGGATGCTGAGAGGTTGAGAAGACTGATGAATGAGAGAAATGCCTTCAAACCTCCTGGCAATAGTTTGGTCTGAATGACCGGAGAGACAGGCAGGCCTGGAGTCTTGTCAGAATGTCTGTTGGCTTCCATGTATTGTTGCCAAGGAAACTGCTAACGGCTCACCAGTGTTCTAACAGATCAAACTGAGATCACTACGGAAAAGTTATTTTAACCTCTCGGCAGCCTGATTCTTGCTGTCTGGCGCTTGTTTAGTGATATCTATTCAAAAATGAAGATGACATGCATGAGCAAGTATGAAACAGGTGCCTGGTCCTGAGGAGCGGCCTAAGGTATTACAGGAATGAGATTTTTCTTTATCAAGGATAAATTGCATGTGGAAGAACATAAATTAAAGGAATAGTGAAGCCTATCTTTCTCATCATGATAATTCATGATTTGTGTGGGTTACTTCAGAAAGATATGGGAGCTGTTGAACCTAGCCGTAATCAGAAAAGTGTTCACCATCATTCATCAGAAATGCATGTTCCTCTTTCCTTCTTATTTTTCACTGCATTGGCAGTAAAGATGTAGATATTCATCCCTGAGGTAAAAGTCATGTAATATTAACTTCCTATTGCTGTATCCAAACAGATTTCTTATAGAAAATCCTCTCTTGAGTTTTACTTTCATTGCCTAGTATTGTAATAGTCATGCATCGATCAATTGCATTTGCATATTTGACACTGAGTTACGTAGTTGCTTGTTTGCTACTCAGCATTCCATTTTTTTTATTCCTAAGGATTTGTTCTGAACTTCTGAAGCCAAGAGAAAAATGAAGAAAATGAACTACTCAGATCATATCATAATCTGAGAGCTAACAAACGACATCTTAAATCAGGATCTGGGACAGAAAATCTAATTACTTTCCATTTAATAGCAAAATTTTACTGAATTTTATGTTGTCAATGACATTGCCAGTTGAACAGATGTTATCTAAATGTTGCTATGATAGTGCTATTTGCTCCAATCCTGCACTATCGCTCCAATCCTAAGCATTAGTTTCAATTCTGTTAGTAACTAAAATCATTCTGTTGTCCTTAATGACCTAAACATGTGTTAAGATGCCTATGAAATCCCATAGTCTGTCAACAAAGGAAAGGCACGAGGTTCAATAATTCAATAAATGTGGACTCCTAAGGAAAATCATCCATGTCAACATTGACCTATGGATAGGACACTGCTCTGCTGCTAGCCGTCTAATGCCAAATCCCCAAAATGACAGCAATGCTAAAGAGTAGTAGAAGAGCGATATCTCCCCCTGGCAGAATGGCTGACCTGAAAAACCAGATAACATTTGTGAAATTTCTATTTTTCGGTTTGAAAGAAAAACTACATAGGGATAGGGATAAATTAAAATCTTTTTGTATATCTAATCAAGCATGGAAATGGAACGCAAAAATAGTATAAAGTTCCGGAAATTGTAGAGAAACATGCATTTTGCAGAAGACAGACTAAAAACTTCTCCAGAAAGAAGCCGTTCTAGAATAGCAATCTTTTAGAAAATGTGATACAAATTGAGCGTTGCACTTTGAACACAATTCTGAAATAATGACTTGTTTAGTTAAAGAGGCATGGCTTTGGTATTAGCCTTGTTGTCTTTGCTTTTCAAGATATGAAATCAACCTTATGATTTAGCATGCGCAAATATGTGAGATACTTTTCTGCTGTCTTCTATATCATTTTTTTCATTGTCTTTTGCGGTTATCATTGTAAATCAGAAGTTAAAACATTACTACATGATGAACATGGAATGTCCGCAATACCTGAGCTTCTTCCTGGATTGCTGTGCATATGCCATTACTGGAGGAAGCATGCCAAACAGGAAGCAATTTGCATAAACTCCAGCAAAATCAAGAGCTCTTGAAAAGGTTGAGGGAAAGAAGGATCCTATAAGAATGGGAACACCAAGTACAAGCATCGTTACAAAAGTATGGTGGAATGCATTAGACTCGGCAATGCTTGATGGCGATTTTACTTCTGATGCAGCAAAACAGCTTGTTCCATCAAATGAAGCCCTCCCTCTATTTCCAAGATTACTCTCACCAGAAAAGGTTACCAATCCAATTCTACCAGTACAGATCCCGTTAGCAAATATTTGACATTGAGTGTAAATCTGTTTTTCAGATTTTGGTTTCGTTAAAATCAACTCCAAGGTATCAAGAAGCTGTTTCGGAAAGCTAACAGCATAACCTATCAAGCTAGTTGCCAAAGCAGAAAATGCAAAGCCCTGAACAGCAGATAAAGCAGAAGGATTGACAGAGAGCAAGAGAGAGATAGAGTCATTGGAGGAGACAGCTGTGTTAGCCCCAGCAAGCCCCAAAACAATTAAATTCCATGACAAAACCATTATCAAAGGAACAGCCCCACCAATCAATACAGCTTTTCTAGCCTCAGATACGGTGTTCCCAGCAACCTTACTTATAAAAGGGGTGATAACATGGAACCCCAACGTAAGTACCGTTACAGGTACAGCAGGCAAGATTGTTGAAATGCTCCAGGAGGTGGGAACAAGGGAGGCTAATATATTTGTTCTAGCCACAGATAAACCAATAGCTACCAGTGAAGTTATGGAGAAAAGCATGAGCAAGCATAAAAACCTGTTAGCAGTATCAATGATCTTAAATGGGAAGAACCCAATTACAATCCCAACAGCAAGAGGAAACAAAGCATGAGCCAACACGACATTCATCCATGGAAACCACTGTGATACTATTGAACCAATGCCCGAAACACAAGCTACTAACAAAGAAAAACTTAAGCTAGCATAAACCACTGCCACAAAAGCACCAAATTTGATTCCTAAAGCTTTTGTTGCAAGGCCAGTAAAACTCACCTCAGCAACCCCATCTTCTTGCATAGCAGCAAAACTAAGTTCAGCAACAAGAATGATAGAGGAGATTACATAAACCCAACAAAGGATAATGGCAATGGTTGATGTAAATGAACCTGACTTTATCGTTGCAGCTGGTAAACCCAGCATTCCAGGCCCTACAGCAGTGCCAACAATCAAACTAACAGCACCCCAGAAGTTCTTTGTACTTCCTTCTTGGGTGTCTATATCTTCATTTTCTTTGGTAAATTTATCACAGTCAGCTCTGTCATTATAAGTGGCAGTGATGGCAAGTGGAATGTTATCTTGTGGTGTGCACCCAGGACTGAGAATGCTAAGGTGTTTACAAAATGAAATAACTTTCTTGGGTGGGTTAATGTGGGAAATGGGGAGACTGGAAATGTTGTGGGGTTGAAGATTGAGTCTTGAAAATGTGATTGAATAGGGTTTGGATAGGTGGTGGGAAAGATGAAGCATTTTGGGATATTAGAATTGTAAGATGATGATGATGTTTGTGTTGGAATCTTTAGAATAAGAATCTTGGATACTGATTGGTAGGCAAGAACTATCTATGGAAAGAACAGTGACCTTTTTGGTCAGAATCAATCATAAACCCAGTGTCTTCTTCAGTCGTCGCTGACTTTGAAACTGTGTGAGAGAGAGCGATGGCAAATATGAGGGCTGGAGCTTGGAGATGGGATCTGCTGCTAGTGGTTCGTGCAGCCCACTAAACAACCGAATAGGGCCTACTAAGTTCTTATAGATGGATCGGGCCTTAAAATAATGAAACCCAATCAGTTAAAGGAAAATGGAAATATAATCTTTGGGAATTGTTATCTTTTTCGAGAATGTAATCTCCGGAATTGTGGAGAGTAAATTATAAATTAATCTTTCTAATTTTTAAAAAACATATCCATTTTATATTCAAAAAATTGAAAAACATAAAAAATATATAAAAAAATTAAATAATTAATTTTTTAAATATAAAAAATAAATTTATTTATTTTTCGAAACAAGATCTAGTAATTAAATTTAAGCGAATCGTGATTTCTGGTTCAGCGCGCTGATAGCGCGTGCAACTTGACGACATGTTTGACATATGTGGCAGGAGACAATTCAGGGACTGATTCAGTGCCGTTAGGTATATGGAGGCGAAAGTTGGTTTTCCGATTAAAAGAAAAGAAAAAGCCCAAATTCTGATTTTTTTTTTTTTTGAGGTTTGTTTGGTATACGTAGCTTTTAATTGTAGCTTTTTGTTTAATAATATGTTTTTGGTAAAAATACTTTTATACGATATGCGATTCAAAAAGTCAAAATTTTTAATTTTTAGCTTTCAGATAGCTTCTAAAACTTGATAAACTAAAAAAAAAAAAACCATAAACTTGATAGCTTTTTCTAACATTTCTATTTTGTTTATATAATTTGCAACCGATATTACAATTTTATTTATTTTTAGTTACCACTACGCGTATGTCGGTAACAGGCAGAACAGCCATGAAGTCTGTCGTTTTGAGGTAAAGGGTATGCAACTACCAACTACCATCAGCACCACCCCGCCTCCGTCGGCAAATTGAACGCAGCTAGGATTATTCAAAGAACACGTGCACATTTGGGCTCATAGCCATTATCTTTTACTTTTACTTTTCACTTCAACTCGTGGTTCAAATTTCAAAACGAGTAAAATAAGTGAATAGCATCTGCGACTGTCTTTTTTTATTTTACTTTTCCAAACAAAACAAAAAAACCGTTTTCTTGCTCCCTCGTTTTTATTTTTATTTTTTCATTTTAAGGAAAGTCCTATAAAAGGGAACGTTGTTGAGGGGATTAAAAAAAAATAGGGCAAAGTTTGATAGATTATATTTCACAGCCATAAATAAAGGTTATAGTCTTATAGAATTAAAAGAAAACCCCTACTTTATTTTGTTTTTCAGGTGAAAATATAATGTATTTTGTTGTAGTTTAGAAATTTTATTTTATGGTTTGTCAAATGGGTTTGATCTCTATTTTTTTTTTGTAAGAAACGGTAAGAAAATTTTTTTTTTTTGAATGTTCTATGTTCTATAAGTCAATACTTAAAAATAATTAAGTATGTTAAAAAATAAGATTAATATATTTACCTATCTTTATATAATATATAATATATCAAATTTTTAATTTGTCTTTATCTTAAGACAATTTTAATATGTCTTTATTATTTGAGATGATTTGTAATCTATTTTTTTATCAAGATTTTTTATTAATTTATCAGAAATTAATCTTTATATTAGAAATATAAATAACTTGTACTAAAAAAAATAATTTTCTTAAATCACATTCAAATCACATGTTTAATTTAATGAGAAATTTTAACTAAAAAGTAAGATTAAAAAATCAATTCACATAACGAAAACAAATTGAAAGCATTTTTTGAATTTAGAAACATATTCAAAATTTAGTTTATTATGTAAAAATAGATGAGTGTATTAACTCAAAAAATATATCCTTAATAAACATAAATACATCGAGATATGTTTATTTTTTAATATATATATATATATATATATATATAACTTATTTTCTAGTAAATTAAGAATCAAACCTTTTTTTTTTTGTGAATTGCAAATAATCAAAATTACATTTGATTTATAAATTTTTTTTATTTTTTTCTTTCGTGGAAAATGATTTTCTCTTATGGTTTTGAAAACGTAATTATCTTCCCATAAAAAAGAATGTGATCTATCTTAAGAGTAAAAAGAGGAAAAAGACATTCTCTTTGTTGTATCAACAACAATATCCAAATTTCTCTATAAAAAAGGATAAAAGTTATCCATATAAATCACAATTTAGAAAGATTTTATTTGGTAAAAAGCTTTCAAAGCAAATTTTATCATATACTTATTCAACACCAGCATCGTTTTCTTTTCAATTTTTTTTTTTTAATTAAGAAGGACATTATTTAAATCTGGAGAAGACTTCAAATTTGGAAATCAACAATTTTATTAAGATAAAATACCAAATACTAAAAAAAAAAAACTTATAATTAGAGATATTTTTTTTCCAGGAAAAAATTGCCTCCACTATTTGAGGTTGACAAATAACCAAAAAGGAAAATTGAAAGAAAAGGAAGCTTCTTCTTTATCCAAAATGTATACTCATCCATCCATCCAAATCCAATTTCCCAAAAATCATAAATTAGACGATGAAAGAGGAAACAACCATAGATTAGATGACGCCACGCGTCATCATCAAGCACCTCACGTGCCGCACCTGGTATCAACCATAAAAACCGGCGACGTAAAAAATAATCATAAACAACACAAATAACGACCTTATCCAATGATCTTCACATTTTTTCACCAAATATTTTCAACCGTTAGATTAAAATCTCCTCCAACTCCTAGAATAAAATCCAACGGCCCAAAACATTCCACCACCATTTTCAATTTCAACGTTTCCCAACTCAAATAGCATAAAGAGAGAAAAAAACTTCATCTATTCAAAGAGAAAAAGCAAAAGCATTCCTTTATTTTTTGCAAGAACCTAGTTGCAATATTTCTCCATTTCTCTCAAAAAAATCAATAAATAATTAAAAAACCAACCTTTCTTTGGTTTTAGGAACAAAGTTTGTGTCTTTGTTATTTCTTAAATTGTTGCGAGAAACTATGGCAGATGTTTTGAGCAAGGCAAATCTGTTTTCTTCTTCAAATGTTTGTAGTTATCAAAACCAACAACAAAATAGTGTTTCTGTGTTTGCAAAAAGTTGCAAGCTTAAAGGGGTTGCTTTGAAGGTCAAACCACAGGCTTTGAGATCACAAATTACGAGATCTTCTTCTTGCAGTGATTTTTTGGGCAAGAGGGTTGTTGTGCAAGGAAACCAAAGCAAACCTAGAAGAGGGAATCTTCCTCGAGCTTCATCTGTGGTGGCTCAGGTTGGTGAAATTTGTTTGATTTTGATTTATAGTTTTGAATTTTTTTTTTGTTTAGTGAAATTTGTTATCTTTTTTTTTTTTTTCGTGGGGTTGAATCTTTGATTTTTGCTCCTGATTGTTATCATAGTTGTTGGTTTATTTCTAATGTTCGGATGGCTTAAATTATTGTGATTTTGTTAAACCGTTGAGTTGTAGAAGCTGGGTCTCAAGATTCAATTTTTAATGGAAAAGAGAGTTTGGATTTTTTTTTTTTCAAGAGTCAAATTTCAGTGATTTATTTTTTTAATTATTAAAAAGAATTGTGTATTGTAAAAATTCATAGTTCGATTTATTTATTTATTTATTTTTTGTTATTTTGAGAAGGATGGATAAATAGTTAATGGCTTTTTCCTTTTTCTATGCGGAATTGACAGACTGGCCTTAAACTTAAATATGCTCAAAAATGGTGGGAGAAAAGTTTGCAACCCAACATGAGAGAGGTGACTTCTGCGCAAGATCTTGTGGATTCCCTAATGAATGCTGGGGACAAACTTGTTGTTGTTGATTTCTTCTCCCCTGGATGTGGTGGCTGCAAAGCTCTCCATCCCAAGGTATGATATACATGACTATTCCCTAATGGATGGTTGTTTATTTTTATTTTTTTGATGGTTATAGTTTTTCGGAGAGAAGGCTGATTGGGTGCATTTTTTGGCAGCTATGTCAATTGGCAGAGATGAACCCAGATGTACAGTTTCTTCAAGTGAATTATGAGGAGCACAAATCCATGTGTTATAGCCTCAATGTCCATGTGTTGCCTTTCTTCCGCTTTTATCGAGGGGCTCATGGCCGGTTATGCAGCTTCAGCTGTACTAATGCCACGGTTAGTTTCACCATCGGTTCACTTCTTTTGTTGATCAACTGTAGCAGTTGAAGTGAGTTTTATAATTTTTACTGTTATGAATAGGCCAATTTGTTTCAGTTCCTCCATTTTCTGTTTCTTGTATGCTAAGAGCTTTAACGCATGAAAGAATGAAATACATAATTCTTACAATAGAACATTTTTCTACATATGTTTTCGAGATCCAAGATTTATCAACTCATTGAAACTGCATCACACCCAATTTCTATATTTAATCTTTGAGATTTGTTAGAATTCATCCAGTTCTTTTGCATAGGAAGATGTTTAGCATGGACCAGACAGTATATTATGCATACCTTGTCAGTTTCATTGATTGTTTCTATTATTTTTGGTCTCTGTTTTGATTCTATTTTAGATCAAGAAATTTAAAGATGCATTAGCGAAGCACACGCCAGATCGATGTAGCCTTGGACCAACAAAAGGGCTGGAGGAAAAAGAGCTTGTTGCATTGGCTGCTAACAGAGACCTCTCCTTCACCTATGCACCGAAACCAGTTCAACCTGCAGCAGTCCCTGCAGAGGAAGAGGTGGTACCAGCAACAGCCACATCTCACTCTGAGCAAGGCCTACCTCTTCCACTTCCTATAACAAACTTGAAGGCTGCTCAAGACTCAGAGGAGAAAACCCTAGTCAGTTCTGGGAGATGATGAGTCTGTCATCCTTGACCTCCTCCCTACTCGTTGTACAGTCTTTGCTCTACTGTCGTTTTATATCAGTATTGGAAATGAACAAAACCAATGCAGGCTCAAGTCATGCTGTATGTATATCCTCGTGGAGTTGCAGGGTTTTGGATTTATTTTTTGGATCCTATCCTGCTATTATGAGCCCTAAGAGAGATCTTTGTGATTGTAATTTGTAAAAAAGCTTATTCTTCTTCTTTGCCCTCCTTTTCTGCCCTTACTTGGCAGAACATGGGTAGCTGTAATGGATTTGTGGTATTAATTTAATGAGGCTATACAGCTAATCTTATCTACCATCGTTTTCTTCTTTTCTTTTTGTAGTTTATGATGTCATTAATGTTCATAAAGTTTATCTGGAACGCTAATGGATCATCACGTGCAAGAGTCGTAAAATCCTGACACGGATTTTTGAATATACTTTCGGCAGTGCTTTTTTGTGGGGTACGCTCTTAAGATCTTCCCAACATGCTTAGGATCTAGCCTGAGTGGCTATGGCATAATCAATGAAGAAATTAATTAGCAAAAAGATTGAAAGAGGAAAAAGGTTAATTAAAAAAAAAACTACCTTGAATTTGGAAAAAAATAAAAAGGAGGAGGATCAAATTGTGTAGCGTGCATGTATGGCGATGGAAAAGGAAAATATTGATTTGTTTTTTTTCTTGATTTATTTTGCCGACGTGCAAATATAGGAGGAGGAATTGCTTTCTTTTTTGTTAAGCTGCCGAGAGAAAATAGAAAGGTGAAGAGAGAAAAAAAAAGTTTTTTCTTGGGTTGCTATAACAAAAAATCAAGAATTTTTTGTATATAAAATATTGGAGTTTTTTCTGTTATTGATTTTTTAGTATTACAATTATAGAACCTACAGTGGTTAATGTGATAATCTTACATAGTATAGTTTTGTAGAAACAGTGTTTTTGTATATTTTAGGTTTTTATGGTGAGACGATCTTAACTAGATATCTAACTTGTATTATTATTATTATTTTTTTTTGTAAAGTTCACAGAGAAAATTAAGTGATTATATTGCTTTCTTGATTATAATAGATTATTTTTGAATTAGTCTATGATTTTTTTTTTATGATAGAGAGGATATTTCATGTAAATTTGGTATTCTTGTGATTGATTTATTTTATACTCTTAATTGTTATGTATTTTTTACCTTAGTATTTTCTCATTAAATCTAATTTAAACGGAATGAGATTAAATTCTCGACAATGGTATCACGGCTTTGTTTTGAATATTTGTATAAATTAAATAGAAAAAAATAATTCAAGAACCATGATCAAACTAATGGCTTCGATTTGTTTGATTTGAAAACTAAGGATGAAATATTTACTTTATTATTATGATTTGTTTGATTCGATTGAATTGGGTAAAACCAATCAACCAACAAGACTGATGATGTTTGGAAAAGGAAGCATGAGAAAACTATTGAAACTATTAGACATTAGTTGAATGAAAGTGTGTTTTTATCATATATCAAAAAAAAAAAAAAAAAAAACATATGCCTAAGAATTATGAAAAAAATAAGAGATTATGTACGAAAGAAAGACTACATAGAATAAAGCTTCTTTATTAAAAAGCTTGGGAATTTGAAATACCAAGATGGAAGGTTTCTTGTTAAACACTTGAGTGACTTTTAGGATTTGATTAATCGAGTTGATGACCATAAAAATAATGTTAGATGACGAGTTATAAGTACTATTATTATTAGAAACTTTACAAAACAGTTGTGAAACTTTGATTGTGACACTTGGTAATTCTGATCTAAATGGTGTTTCATCATTATTCATTATTAAAAACAACTTGTTTAATGAAGAAAGAAGACAAAGTGAAGTGGCAGTGAATGAAATACAAACTCTTATCAAAGATAATAGAGGAATGAGTAAGAATATAGAATTTAGTAGGCATGATAAATTCATAAGTAGATCACATATCAATGACGAGTTTTAAAGATTATCATTATAGAATAAAATGTTATATTAAGAGAAATTGCAAAGTATGAAAGAGAAAACAAGTAGAATTAAATAATAAAAAAGAAAATAATGAGAATACCACTACAATGTTCACCTTTGATGGTGATGTGGTGATGCTCTCATATAGGATACATATAATGCTACAGATCTTTGTATTGATTGTGTTGCTCACTCAGTTGTTGCATATCATACTACTTTTGGAAATGAATTCTTTAAAGTGTACAAAACTAGAGACTTTGACAGAGTAAAGATCGATACTAATAGTTATGCTAGGATTTTAAAAGTTAGTGTTGTATAAAGACATACATATTGTACACTCGAATTTGAAGAATGTAATACATATATCTAATCTATGTCCGAATCTAATTTCTAATGGTGCCTTAGATGTTGTCGGACACTATAATTATTTTAGTAGTAGAAGATAAAAACTCACCGGAGGATCAATGGTTGTTGCTAGAGGTAATATTTATGATAAACTCGTCTAAGATAAAAGTGCAAACACTCATACCTAAAAATGATGTATTTTGTATTTAGATGTAGAAATTATCCAAAGTTATGGTTTAGATGATAGCTCAAGTGAAGAAAAAAAGATTGACAAAAAAGTTTAGTGTTACTTTTCTATGAAGACTATCATAAGTATTGAATGAAGAGCATATAATTAATATTGAGCTAATAGTTGATAATGATGACGATATAGGTAAGATGAAAGTTGAGCAAGAGGAGTATGACCCTTAACTTCAAAATATAGAATCTTAAATGAGTACATCTACTAGTTAGTATTATTTTTTTTTAAAAAAATTTCAGTTTTAATAATATTTTATTGATAGATGAAAAGAAGCTCAATAGTTTTTATAATATTCTAACTCGTGATAAGAGTTAAAAAATAAAGTTTAATGATTGACGATGTTATTGTCTTTATAAGCTAATGGAAAAACAATTGATGATACTAAGAATAATTTTCCAAGATAAAGATTCTATTGATATATCGACATAATTGATAACATATGAGAAGAATGAATTATATATTAATGTGGCTGACATGAATTCTAAATGATGAGTTAAGGTTTTTCTCTCATGGGTTGGATGTAGAGTTCTATTGGGTATATGCTTAAGATCCAACCCACGAGTGGCCTTGACATAACCTATGAAAAAAAATAATTAGAAAAAAGATTAAAGGGGAAAAGAATTAACAGGAAAAAGACTACTTTGAATTTGGAAATAAAAAGAAGGAGCAAATTTTGTTGTGTGTTTGCATATGGGTGGTGATGGGAAAAAGAAAAAAGAAAAACAAAAAGGAAAAGTTTGATTTGTTGTTTTCTTGATTTGTTTCGCCGATACGTGCGTTTTCTCTTGGTTTACTTAAACAATAAGGTAAGGATTTTTAAAGCATAAAAAAAGTTTCGTTCAGCATTCATTTTTTAGTATTACAATTACAGAGAATTATAATATTTAAAATAATGATTTCACATGGTATTGAGTTTTACATGAACATAAAGATTTTAAGATTTTAAATTTTCATAATAAGACAAATTTAACAAAAAAAAAAATTTATATTACTATCAATATTTTTATTTCTTAAGTTTATAGAAAAACTTTAAATAATCGTATTAATGAATTATTTCGAAGTTGGTTTTTGATTTTTTCTCTATGATGAAAGAAGGTTTTACATGTAAATCTTGTATTTTTTTAGTTGTATTTTTATAATTGATTCTTTTATTCTTAATTGTTGTACGTTTTTAATTTGATTTTTTTTTATGAAATTTAATTTACACAAAATGAGTTTAAATTCCCAACACCCTCTGTCCCTGCATTTTGAGAGAGACCTGCCCTCCTCTCCTATCCAACTGAAAGAAATATGTCCCTTTTTAATGGTAAGAAAGGTCATAGAAGTTTTAAGTAGATATTTCGTGCTTTTTTTGTTTGTGGATACCCAAAAAAGGTGGGGTTTGCTGGACCCCATGAGAAGATGCATGAAACTTGACTAAATGGAAAGAAAGCGTTATAAAAGTAAAATAAAATGGATAACCTTGCGTGTGTATGAGGATGTATCAACGTGGCCCAACTCACTTTACACACATTATGCTTTTTGTGGGGCAAGGAAATGCCCTATTTTGGACACAATTTGTAAGCATTTTTTAAAAAAAATCAAACGTTATAAAAGTAAAATAAAATGGATAAGCTTGCGTGTCTATGAGGATGAATCGACGTGGTCCAGCTCACTTTACAAACATTATGCTTTTTTGGGGATAAGAAATGTCCTATTTGGACACAATTTGTAAGTGTTTTTTCAAAAAAATCAAAAGCCTCAAATCTACTCTCCTCTCTCATCTCTCCATGTGTCCTACATTATTGGACACAGCTAGTCTTTGTGGGGTAAACTTCTATCAATGATCAACGCAAGTTTAGTGATTGAAGAATCCCTGAACTCTTCTCTCTTGTCTGCCTACGTGTCTTGACTTTCTCAGCACAAAATGCTCTGTGGGGGTACCTGTATCTCTTGAAGACAAGTTTAAAGATTTAAAAAATCCAAAGCTCCTCTCTCTTCCTACCATGTGTCCTGATTCCCAACACATCAGTGAAAAAAAACTTGTGGAAGGATTGTCTTTGAATGATCTGCACAAATTTAGGTATTGGAGATCAAGAAGCTCTTCCCTTCTCCATCCAGGTGTCCAGTACGGGATATATCCATCAAAGATTAGTTGTGTTGTCTCATATTTGCGTGAAAGCAGCGTTTTGGGCGATGTATTTGCGCCTTTGTTGCCCTATCCTTGTCAAAACTCTGATTGGATAGGCAGTGGAATTTTGGTAATTTTCGAAGTTGAAAGATAGAAGCAATAATCTTTTGTTACAGAACTACATGATTGATTTAGTGAACCTTTGATGGGCAAATCACAATGTGACCAGTGTGAAAATAGTCTAATCTTCTTTACTTGTCAGACATCAAAAGTTGCAGAATTCAAAACAAATACGAAAATGTGTTTTGAAAAGCAAAGAATCCATAATCGTTCGAACGATTATGGATTCTTTGCTTTTGGTTTGAAAATTTAAAAATAAAAATAAAGGCAATTTGAAAGACAGGAAAGGCTTGATTTCATTGTTGCAATATCATAAGGGAAAATGCTTGAAATTGCAAGTTGAGATTTGTCAATTTTTATGTAACATGTCAGGTTGTTAAAAACTAACGATGAAATTTATGAAACATGAACAAGGTAGTCATATTAAGAAAATTTTAGAAGTTCAAGGATTGAATAAATTAAAAAAAAAAAGTAGGACGAGATTAAGAATTTATCAAGAGTATTTATTGGCTTAAAATTTAAGAGCTCACTCTCTATTTTCTCAAGTTTAAAATCACGAATTATTTAGAGCCCATTAGGCATTGTTGTCTTCTTGTTTTATGTATTTAAATATTTGCATGAATCATATTAAGTTTTATCCTTTTCTTTTGATGTTCCGAAGTAAGTTCTTATACCGCTGTTCTTTATGTTTAGTTTTTCCAAATGTAATTTTGAAGTTACAAACAAAACAAATAATCCCATATTTGGTAGCATCTTTGCTAAGGGATAGAAATAGTGGGTCAGAGTGTGAGAGTAAAATCTCTACATTTATTTTTGAAAAAAAATAATTTTTTTTTAATCAAATTAAATCCTATATAATTAATTTGACAAATTCAAACCTATATTCAATATATTTAGATAATTACATCAAACTATTTTTTAATTCTTAATAAAAATTTTACAAAGAAAAATAGGTTTATTAAATGAGAAGACTAAATTAAAATTAGGTTTTTCTTTTTTTATTTTTCTAAAACATGCAATGTGAGAACAAAGTCGTCAAACACACAAATAAAAATCCCACATCTGTACCATTCACTTTTCTAAAAATAGTTTGAAAAAAAAATGTAAAGAACACAGTTGAATTTGTCATGATTTAATATAAACCTATAGCCTCAAAATAGGTTTTTTTTTAAAAGTTGTTAGAGAGTCAAGTAAAGATCTCACATGTGTATCATTCAATTTTTTTTTTTTTTATAAATAGTTTGAAAAAATGTAACGAACATAGTTGAAGTTGTCAAATAATTTACATATAATTTAATTTATTGATTTAATATAAACACATAGTCTCAAAATGGGTTTTTTTCTTTATTTTTAGTTTTAAGTTAAAGTAACACATTTATCAACCAAAAAAGGAAAAAAGTTAAAGAAACAGATTACTCTAAGCTGTTACCCCAGTTTTCAATGTTTTAGTAATATGAACAACTTTTAACTGTATGTAACCGGCCTGGATTAATCATGCGGGCCTAATTTTGGATCCAACCCAAAGCTACACCTTGCCCGAGAAAACAACCAGAGATGTGAATTTGGGCCTTCGGCTGCAAGAACTTGTCCATCTGCTTGCTTACCTAAGCCCACACAAAGGTCAGCCCAAATCTGATAGTGGCAGAACTAAAACACAAGCAATTTAGCCTGTGCCTCAACTGCCACCTAGCCACCTACTCCTAACACTCCAAAAAGTCCTGCTTCCTCTGTAGTCCAAGGTCTCGATCCTCCCCCCAACCCCCCACCCACCCACCCCCCAAAACCGAAAAAAAAAGAAAAAAAGAAATAGCAAATTCCGTCGTTGAGTGGTAACTGAAAAATTCATGAAAAGTTACAATCCCCGTAAAAATAGACCAAGCCACCAACACGTCTTCGTCGATGTTGTTTTTTGACTGGTTGTTGTGGCGTCCCACTGATTGGGGTTACGCACTGGGAGGTAAACCTCTTCCTTTAATTCCTCACATCCCAAGATTGAAAATAATTTAATTCAATTATTAAATTATGCGAAACTAAGCTAGCAGCAAAATATATTTTGCTAGATTCATGCTAGATAAGGCAAAGTACAACATAGTCTGCGTACGAGAAGTTACTCTAAGCTAATCAAATGACCAGTGGATAGATTGGTCGAAATTATCGTAAAGTTTTTTCAAGATTTTGGTCATATCCTGGAAGATATATAGAATAATGGGTCAAAAGCAGACCACTTCTTGGCGGTGCTAACAAAGTGCCACCGTCAATTTAGGGGTTTTGAAGACTGTTTTAATTTTTAGAATTGCTATTGGGAGAGGCTCATTATTTCATATGGTTGAGTTGGTTTAATTATTAGTATTTTTTTTTTATGGTCTTGTTATTAGGATTAGGTAGGGTATGGTCACCGTTATTTTTTCATAATCACTAATTTTCTAACAAAGTTATCGAAATACATCAAAAATTTTAAAAATTTATCAAACGACTAATCGATATAACGATCAAGATATAAAGAATTAGTATTATGATTTGCAAAAATAATGATTAACCAATCAAGTAGGATGAATGTAATGATGAGAGGCGTAAGATAAAAAACATATAATGCTAACAAAATATAAGTCAAGTAACAAATAAATAAGTGGTCAAAATTCAAATATATAAAACTTTATATAATATCTGTTTTGTATATAAGAGAATTTTGAAAATAGAGAAATAGAGGTTTTGCTAAATATAAAAAAGTTAGAATTTCTTGACAATTATGTTAAAGTTGATATTTATAATGAATTGAAAATTACATTTGACGGCTAGAATCGGCCATGTCATTCATGTTTAGATTGTGAGATTTTTGAGCAAAAGAAATTAGATTTTTTAAAACTAAAATACTTCAATTTGTTAGTAAAAGGTAAAACAAACAATGCTTGAGCATTCTTTTAACAAATCTTACTCTTAAATTATCAAGTCAATCTTTTAAATACATTTTAAAAATAAAATATAAACACTGATTGACTCTATCAAAATATGGATGTTCATTCTTGCATAATTCAAGCTTTGTGCCAAGCGAAGTCTATTTTTAATCTAATTTATTTGTTATGTATTTTAAATTTCATGCTAAATAATAACAACAACAACAAGGATTAAAAAGAACCTAAATTACTTAATTAATTTTAGAAAAAAAATCCAGCAGTACAGTCTTCAATAGTTTTCTTTTCAACTTATCGTTGCTGAAATCCCTGAGAAGACCTCAAAAACAGCAACTAATAGATGCTTCCATTTCAGATGTACTAGAACTACTAGATGCTTCCAAAGTTCAGAAGATTCCATGGTTTGTGATGCACAGAACGTTCGGTAAACTAGAGTGTTGATCCGATTTAAGACATCAGAAGTTTTGGTTACTCGAATAATAATGCCATCTTTATATGTACAACAATTTATCAGATCAACTCTCCTCACTCATCCTCCGCATTCAACACTCGAGTTTCACTGATTTGGGGACCACTCCATTTCTTGATATTCTTCCCAGTCAAATGACCTTCTCTTGAATATGAATCATTGGTTATCTCAAGGAAATGACCCACCATTTCATTGAACTGCTTCAGCCGAGACAATGGGATTATCACAGAAGATTGGCGTGTACCTCTCCCCTGTAAACATTAAACCTCAAGTTGTTATAAAATGACACCTCTTGTGAATATATATATATATATATATATAAAACCAAGATTACAAACACTCCCAAGTAATGCACCTCGGATATCTTCAAGAAATGCCCCCTCTTATTGTTTCCAAGATCAAAGCAGAAGTGCTTCTGGCCTACTCTCATCATTTTTGAATCACAACAGCCATTATTTTCATAACGTGCAGGCTCCACTTTTGATTGTGGTGCTGAAGAACTCTGAGCATTGTGGCTCATTATGAAGTCAGTTTTGGCATCTGCAAGCTCTATGGATTGTTCTGAAGGAATATAAATTTGTTGCCGCTGCAGAATCAAATGCAAATTATTTGCCCTCGAAAGAAACCAACTTTGAACACAAACAGGAAACAAGAAAAGTGAAAAGCCCAGAAACCTGAAGTGGAGGGAAAAGAACTCTTGCAGTTGTACCAATCTCTTCTAATGTCCTCCTAAACAATTGCAAACCCTTGTTCTCATTCTTTCCGCAAGGAATGATAATGTTCCTGCAATTTGTGCTAGTTGATGCCCCTGAGACCTGCATACATGGTGCTAAAAACACAACCTGAGAGATGAACCAGTTCATTGTTTTTCAATCTTAAAAAGGGAACGCCTAGAAAACAAATAGATAAGGGTGAGAGAAACAAAAAAAAAAATTTCTCACTTTTAAGACTGATGAAAAAAACACAGAACTCAGGGTTGAAAAACACACAGATCATTGTTTTCAACGGAAGGATGCCACACTTGACTCACAGTCAAATATGCAAACCTAAAATGACAGAAAATTATGATCAACTCAAGTCCACCCAAAAAGAAAAACAAGGATATCCTACTCACTATCATATCCATTTTAAATGCAGATCTCTTATCCCATGGATTAAAAAGTTTTCATTTCAATTTTTTTATCTTCTATTATCATTAAAGGAAATGAAACATGAAATAAAATGATGTAGATAGCCAAAGCCTACATGAAAAATCAAAGAATTCTTCCTCAATTTTTTTCCCTCGGAGCTACCTAAAACAATTTACTTCTTGGAGACAAGCAGCAGAGAATATGCACATATCCCCACCAGTCAACAAAATTCTCAGAAAGATTTGGAATCTCATTCATTGATGTTAGGGGAAAAAATGGAGCTATAGCTTACAGACATAATGAATATCAAGTCTGAGCTTCTTGAGGAAGATTTATGAAAAGCACTATTTAGAATTGGCTTGCAGAATGTAAGCCAAACCACCTTGATTAAAAAGCAAACAAGTAGTAAATTTGAGTACAGTTATTTACATATAAAAAGAGAAAGGAAGGTCTTGACTTAATAGGCACTCTAGATTCTAGACAGTGAAACTGAAATAGAATGAAAACGGATGTGCTCATCGTATAGAACGTAAAAGTAAAAAACGTAAAAGTAGAAAAAAAATTGAGAAGCAGCTACTTGAAACTTGAATACATGTTGTGATTTGGAAGCATACGGACAAAAAGATTCAGAGCATATCTAAAGCATGCATATGATTCATTCATGGAATATATATATAGGTGTTCGTAGTTTTGCATTTATTGCTCGGTACCATGGTCGATATATAATTATTTCGGCTAGAAGTATATCCTACATGTGCAGGTGTAGTGGTTGGTTTTTTTCCTTTGCCAGGTAAAAATGAAAGCTTAGAGATGGTGTTGGAAGTACGTAGATTAGGACATGGTATCTTCTTGTTTTGTCCAGAACGTTAACCAGTTGTCATTTTGATGTGATGGTCCATCATATACTATCAGTTTATTCTCATTAAGAATGCTGCATTTAAGGCATATTCCAAACAAAAAAACTCTATCCGTCCTGTACTTTACATTATTCTGTTTATGGGGATGCTTAAAGCAGTGGCCAGCAGTAGCACCCTTGTGGATGATCTCAATCATCCATCAAATGCAGGTTCCATCATGGCGATGGCTAAGATTAGGCCACACGTGCATTGGAGATTGAATTTAACATCCTCTCGTTTAGACAACATAAATTTAAGAATGTGTGCAAAGACAAAAGCCCATTGGAAGAACAAAACCACGCACTCGCGCAAGGCTAGCTTGGGCATACATCTAGTTTTAGTACAAAGTTTGCTTGTAACTTTCACATAATCTATAAAAATCACAAAATAATTGACATGCCAAAATTTAAGCCTTTGAGTAGTTATTGAAAAGATGCTGGCTCTTGCGCATTTTCATATCTATTCTCACCTAAAATTCAAGAGTCAAAGGACCCCAAGATTATATTGCATTTAATGAACACAAGAAGACCATACAGATAAATTGTTCTTCTTAAATTTCTGTAACTTTCTCTTAAGAGCATATATAAACAAACTGAGACCAAAAAAAATAAAATAAATAAAGGTCACTTTACCTTCAAAAAACGACCAGATTTATTCTGTTCAACATTGAAGCAAAACACCTACAAAGTAAAAAAGAAGGAAAATATAATTATTCAAGATAAGAGAAAAAGCTTTCAGCAAAATAAAATCAGGTAGAGAGTACTAACGAAAAGCATATTGGAGATTGGGGGTAAGAAACCTTTTTGAAGGAATCACCTTGTCATTGATCTTGAATTCTTTCCCTTTGTCAAAACCCTCTTCTTGGTGTTCAGAAGAACTGGAGCTACAGCAATCCAATGCTTCTAAGAAGCATGAAATGCCACTTGGAGGAAGCAAAATAGAGAAACCACCCTTTTGTGATATTTGGAGATACTGTATTTCAGAATTCTCTTTCAATTCAAAACAGAAGGACTTGTGCTCTATCTCTATTTTTTTACAGACAAGCAAAGCATCGGTTTCTAAATTGTTCTTCTCCATTTCCAAATTTCGACAACTTCACATAGAAGGAGAACAATTGTGGGTCTCACCAGCCTTGTCAAGGCTGAGAGTAGTTTCAGAATTCTCTTTCAATTCAAAACAGAAGGACTTGTGCTCTATCTCCATTTTTAACAGACAAGCAAAACATCTGTTTCTAAATTGTTCTTTTCCATTTCCAAATTTCGACAACTTAACGAAGAAGGTGAACACTTGTGGGTCTCACCAACCGTGTCAGGTTTGAAAGTAGACTGAAGAGAGTCCCGGAATCCCACTAACCTTGTTAACATTGTGTCGTGGGTCCCATAAAATCTGGAGTAGGCCTATAGTTTTAGGTTTTCTAGTTTGGCTTGACAAGTAAGCATTGTTAAGTTGGGGTTGGGATACGGTCTCTAGACCATGATACATCATGCCAAAGAGCTTATAACTTAATTATGTTTTATGTCTTCTTCCTTGGTTCAAAATCTCTTGATTGTAATAAAAAATATCATCATTTTATTAATACGTACTTTTAATCTTATAATGAAAAAGATGAAAACAAACTTATTATGTAATTATTTGAAAAAATAACTATCATTGTAGAGGGAAAAAAATACGAAAAGTTATTTACCATTTAAAATAAATAAAATCCAAATTTAAATCTAGTAACATATTTATTTATTATTTTTATATTTAAATATTTATATTGTTCAAATCTTGTATCTATTAATATTAATGTTAATATCAGAATAAGTTAAATTCATATTTGATCTATTTAATGAATGAGTTAATAAATTTAAAATATAATTATAATCGAATCACAAAAATTACATACTAAATTGATTTAATTATATCAAAATAAAATCAAATTTTGATCAATATCCGATGTATGGACAGCTTTAAGCACAAAATTATTAACATGGAGAACCACCACTTATGCTAGTGTAATGATACACCAAATTGAGAGGTTAGTAGGGCGTTTTGCTGTTGTCAAGGTGGTGAGTTTGAATTTGCTACGCTTCTACTAAATATATGAAAACATTTGAAAAGGTAAAATTAGAGAATTAGATCAACTATGTGAAGACAGGTAGAATGATTTAGAACCTCTCATTTGACATTGAAATTAATTAAATATTTTGATGTAATGTATTTTAAAATTGAAGTGATTTACACATTTTACTTAATTGATTTATAATAATAAACCTAGCAATTATCCAAAAGTATGTATTGATTATTACTAATGTTTTATATACCATTATCTTTATCTATTAATGTTTGTAACTAATTATATTGCATTAAAGTAAATTTCTAATTAGAGATCGGCTAAGCTCTAAGAGAAAACAGGAGTGATTATCAAAAGGTTTTGGAGTGGGAAATTTAGGGGAATAAAAGAGATATATAAAATTTTATTATCATATAATTATAATAGGATAATATCTTTTTAGAAATTCTATATCAAAACTTTGACAACATCGTGTGCGCGTAAAAACCCATAAAAGGGTTTTCTCCCCTGCTTTCTTCCTTGACGCTCTTTTTTTTTTTTTCCCCCGTAGCATGGTTTATAATTATTTATTTATTTATTTAAGACGATCGTTATTCAAGGATAAGTTTTAGAGTATTTCGATAGCAATTACCAATAATTATTTTATGAAAAAAGAAATATAAAAAAGAGAAAGAAACATAAAAGAGAGTTTAAAACAAATATTCTTGAGTCCAGGACATATTCTTGTCTATTTGATGGATTCCAATGCGATTTTTTGTTTTTATCTTAAGTTATTCATTTGGGTTGCCAATATTAGAGTAAAATATATATATATATATATATATATATATATATATATATATATACACGTAAACCACTAACAGAAACTATAGAAACTTCATATGCTTTAGAACCATGGCAATCAGGATTAGATCCACCTGTAGCCTTAAAACAACCACTGATGATGAAACTCCAGCTAGCTTTAGGCACTTTGTTTGTTGTTAATAAATCTAGCAATATTGCTTTATACCTATTAGAAGTGCTTAACTTTGAAATTGAATCTTGAACCCAATGGTTGCTTGAACTTTGGTTTGCAAGTTGATACAATGTTTGCCGGAGTTTCATAGCTGCTGGTGGACTGTTAGTACAATTACTGTAAACCTTATCAGTCATGCCAATTGGTCTGGTCCACGTATCAGGCTAACTTAACTGCTACTTTCTGGAGGCATATTCTTTGAAATGGACTTCCGTAAATGACAATTAAACCAAATGATAACCCGAAATAAGAATTAAATAACAAGATAAAAAATTTACCAAATGGAGCTAGATTAAGAAATATTACTGCAGAGTGATTCATGTGTTTCGTTTGGTTACAAAAAATAAAGATTCGGCATATAAATAAAAAAATTATAATAAAAATTAAGAAAACATTCGTATTTTTATATTGTATTTAAAATATTAATAAAAATTTAATTTTTTTAATATCTAATTTTTAATATAAATAAAAATAATGATTAAATTTTTTTTATCAATTATGATAATAGTACAAAAAAAAAATTATGGTAGTAGTAATGGTAACGGTTAAGTAGAAAGAAGATGAAGATGAAGTGATAGTAATAATAGCATAGCAATAATACTAATATATTTTTTAAAAAATGGATACTATAACCATAGGATATGGAGTGGTGGTGGTAATGATATAATAAAAATAGTGACGATAGTGATAAATTGTTAGTGATGATAAAATAATAATAATAATTTTTTTTATCATCATTGTCAATGGAGATGGTAGTGGTGATGGTTGTGGTGCCGACGGTTATAGTAATAATAAAAATATTTAATATACAATAAATAAAAATAATATATCATTATTTTGAAAAAAAAATCACTTCAATTTTTTTTATTTTTATCCCCACCTTTTACTTGACAATAAGGTTATGTATAATTTTTATTTTTATTTTCACTCTTTATTCTCAATTTCATTTTATTTATTTCAATCAAATAGCAATAAAAAGAGAATAAAATTTTTATTCTCATTCTCATCATTTCATTTTTTATAACTAAATACTAAATGGCAATTAGTTTCAAATTTAGAAGTTACAATTTAAGACTTAAAGTCTATTGGACTATGGTAGAGGATTTGACACATTCATCATACATAAAAGAACAAAATTAATTTAAAGAAAAAATTTATATATATATTAAGTAAAATTTATATTTTTCATCAATACATGTAAAACCTTAAAGTATTTGCATAAATTAAAAATCTCTTTTTCTTTGATAACATCAATTTTTCCTTAATAGCAAGATATATATCCTGCTAATTTGTGTTGCATTTATATATTTAAAAATATTTAATTTATATATATATGTGCAGTAATTTTTTTATTTATTTACGGCAAGTATGTCTAGCCTTGTCGTATTTTGAGAATGCTTTTCTATTGCATTATATATAATTATGCTCTGCCATGTTAATTTTAAAATTCGGAGTAGTTAGCTTAAAAAAAAAGAAAGAAAGAAAGAAAAAAGGGTGAGGATGTTGATTTGACAAGTCAGGCGGCATAGAAGCACAGTAGGAACTTTAATGGGCATTGTTTATTAATAAGTATACATTTGCGTAAAAGTTTTGGCAGTCATGTTGATGATGGGGTGCATATACGTGTCGATCCATTTTTATGCATCAGTGGCCCTAATTCAATGCCATCGACCTTAACTTCACGCAATTATTATTTATTGGGGAACAAAATTGATGTCAGTATAATGCGAACTATGAAAATTGATTTGATACCGCCAACATATTGAATGTGATAGTAATTTGCAAATAAATAAATATTTTTGCATCATACATATGAGTTTTCATATTGGGGGTATGCATAATATTTCTTGGTTGTTTTGATCATGTGAAGTCCACTAGATTTCTTGTCAATGCTGCGAGGCATATTTGATATTAATAATGCATAAGGTGTAAGTCGAATTGCATGTTTTAATTGTAAACAAAAAAAAACAAATTCATGATACAATTTTTATGATTATTTTGATATATTAATATAAAGTTTTCATTTCATAATGAAACAACACAATGTTGAGATAGTGATGCTGATTAATTTAAAAATAGATTAATTTAAAAATAGCAGTAGCATTTTACATTATTTTGATGATCATATTTGGCTCTACATAACTTAATTAATATGCTCACAAAATACATAATTTTCAATTGTTTCATAAGAGTTGTTATTTGACTCTACAAAGAGGTTATTATTTTTATGATTTAATTAGAATAAAATAATAAATCGATATTAAAGATGAATTTTATTCCAATCCTTCAAGTGTGAAAAATATTTATTCTTGATATTTTTATTTATTAGCTTTATTATTAAAGAATTTGAATTTGAATTTGAATTTGAAGCCCACAAGCAAAGCTTGTGATGTTTACGAAGGCCCATATATACGGATTACGCATTCAGCCCATAATGCCAGAGTGAGCCAGGTTTAATTTCAAATCTCTTAAACCATTCCAATTGATTTATTGTATAACGCCATTCTCTATTTTCCTATTTATATCTATTTTAAATTATTTTTTTATCAAAATTTTAAATGATGTATTATTTTTAAATAATTTTTAATCAATTTTTATTTTTAAACAATTCTTAATCAATTCTTAATCGCTTAAACCATACCAATTAATTCTAATGAGTATCCTTGAGCCAACACTAAAGGAAAAAACCCTTATGAGTTAAAGCCAAATATCAACATTATTAACACGCATTCATTTCGGATATAATGATAGTGACATAAGTCATAATTCTCTTATACGTTAGTTTTTTAATAGGACCCAAAAGCTATGGATATTCGGGAATATCTCGATGTGTGTTTTTTCAAAATCTAACATATTTTGTATCAGATTTTTTATTAATTTGTACTGTATCATGAATCAATTTTAATAAAATGAAAAAAATATATTTCCATTTAAAGTAATTTAATTAGCAGAGAAATAAGAAACCTATTAATAATAATTAAGGTTTAGAAATTAATAATAAACATT